TAAAAATACCTAACCATCACAAAATGATGGGTTGCAGAAAAATGAGCAAACACAAATGTTTAGTTTTTCAAAATCTATCCAAATTTACAGAATATCAAAGAAATCACAGACAACTGGATAATTTTTTTTTTGTTTAAAAACATATTAAGAAGGGCCCTCTTCTTTCAGCTCAAAATGAACTGCTAAGTCTGACCCAAAAAAGTGGAAAGCAGAGGAAAAAGCCCTTTAACTTTTTGTAACAAAATTACATTGAGGGACTAACTTTGATGAAATGCCATTCATGTTGGGTTTGTAGGGTTTTTTTCTTTATATAATAGGAAAAAATAGTTTAAAACAAAATTTAATCCCTTTAATTCGAACTATATTTAGTACTTCTGTTCAAAAATGTCAAAACATCAGGTTGACCCATAATTATTTTTAGTTCAGTCATTGAACTGAAAAGATCAATATTTTTTATGTCCCAATCATGTGATGAGATAAAAAGCTAAGGGATATTAAAAAACTAAGAAGGAATAATAGGAGTTTTTAATATGGGAAAAGATTAATAAATAATAGGCACTCATTATTCTCTTACAAAATTTTGTGGTGCAATTCTTAAACTGGAAGAGAAGTGTAAAGGAGTGATACAGCAACATTTACAGAAAACACAAAATTTTGACTACTTAGTTACCCCCTTGATCACCAAGGCCAAGTGAGGTATTAAACAGACAGTGCAGTGACCTGAAAAAACAGCGTTAGTAAAAACAAAGAAATACACACCAGAGAAAAACCACAGAACCATACAAGAAGTATTTAAGAATTAGAGACAGCTCTAAATTAACAGCAAAAGGATCTCAGTATCATTATACAGGACAAAAGAAAATGTATAATGTGCTGCTGCTGAAGAAAACAGACAAAATGTGGGATCCATAAGGAATGTAAACAAGGGTTAATTCAGAAAATGGTCCCAAATATCCGTGACTTGTGCTCGTTGACTGGCAAACTGGTCACTTCACTTTCAAAATGATGCTGCAGAATAACAGAAGGACAGCAAGAACAGGTAAGAATATAGAAAAATGTTTAAAAATATTATTCACCTTGCAAAACAGTCAATTCAAAAGGAGGTAATAAAAAATATAAAATAAAGAACAGACAGTTTATAGGTTTCTGCTGCCTTCGCCTCATAACTCTAGGTGAGAATACTTAATTAAAGCCCAGCACATTAAGAACTGTCCAAGGAAGCATTTTTCCACAGAATAAATAATTGAACTCTATGGTCTATATGGTCTATAGCATCACTAAAACCAAGAAATCAGCAAAAATTTATAATATTAGACATTTTTGCAAGCATACCCAGAATCCAAGTAATCAATGTTATTGGCTGGAATATAAAGTCTCATTTCCAGCCAATTTCTAATTACTAAGAATTGCAGTAGGCTTTCCAGGACAGCAGATTTGCCTACTGCAGCTTCCTCCCTCACAAGATGACCACTTTCAGAAGTTGCATATTCAACAAAAAGTACTTGATTCAGCACCTGATTCAGAAAGCTGAAAGCAGGGGTCTACATTTTAGGTACCCTGGATGACAAAGCTCTTATCACAGCTAAGAGAGAGTTAGTTAATAATCTGCCTAGTCTATACTGAATTGAGCAATTATAGGAATCTGCTTTAAAGAACTATTAATCTTATCCTACATACCTAAATTTAGGGGTCTACAAACCCATTGTTTAATCCCACCCTGAAGTTAGGGCGAGCTGAATCCTCACCATCTAGTATGTTAATTCTCATATTCCTGGAGGGCATCTTTCAGAACAACAGTGAAATTATTTCCTCTGTTAACTCTCAGGCACAATTAGGTAACAGAATTAATCTGGTCTAGATTTTCACTTCTCTGAATATAAATACAGTATGCAAATCGAGTTTCCATGGCTTTGTGTAAAAGCCTTAAATGGACTAGCTGTTAACCCAACCTAAATCAAATGTCTAAAGCCAGCTATATGAAGTAATGCCTCAAAGCCAGTATTTCTACCCTGAAATTATTATATTCCATCATATTTATCACAGAAGAGCATAACTGAATTAAATGTTTCAAACATCAGTTTGGATGGACTAAATATAGGTGCTGTCACATGATGCCTGTGCATTTTACATGAGCGTCTAGGATAAATTTATAATAACCCAGGGCACTTCACACATCCATGTGGCTCAAGATTGAAGGCAGCATGGTTAACATCTACGGATTTTTTTTCTAATCAAAGTGCATCAGAAGTTCATCATCATCAAAAGCAAGGCAGAGTTAGATACCTAAGCCAAAAGCTAACCTGTCAAAATCTCCTTTTAAATCATAATTCATAATCGCCTTTGTTGCCCTGAGGAACTTCATTAATTGAATATGCCTGTTCAAGAATCATTTTAGTATTTTAAAATCCAATTCCTTATACCTATTAGAACAAAATCACACCACCAATGTTCCACATGCCCGTGCTTGCATGCTGGAGAGCACGATTCAGCCTCATTCAGTCTCAAGTCTTGTTTCGAGAACTATAAAGACGTTTTTCTTAATGCACTTGAGATAGATATCAACAAGCCGTCTTCCATCCCTGAAAACCAAAACGCATGAGGAATTATAGCTCTCAGCAGAATCGATCGCTGCCCCATCTGATTGTGTGCAATAAAGATGGGAGACTGATTCATCCCCAAAGTCTCCCCAAAGAGGTAGCATGCTGCGCAGCTATACTACTCAGGACGTACTGAGACAACATAAACCACCCACTGAGGCCTGAAGCAAAGCACTGTGGAAAAAACCTTCAGCAGAGCACCCAACACCATTGCAAGGACTCAGCGCCCACCCAAGCCACTGAACTGCAGGCACAGGGAGAGCAAAAGCCCCTGTGGGCCCCTGATGTGGCTGATGGAGAGGGTGATGCATATCTTCCGTGGGCTGAACTGGCTTCTTGAACCTCTTCTCTCTCCCCACAGACTTAGGAGACTAAAAAGCAAGCAGGAAGAATCTGGCCTTAAGGGTCTCACATAAAGCCTCTAAAGTCAAGGGACACCTTTTCCTCTATTTAATAGCCTCTAGATGAGGATGCTCAGCACTACAAAACACCTATAATCTACTACAAGGCACCCTAGTGCAAGCTTGTTCACTACAAAGTATTTGCTAGAAATGAGTTGGTTGTTCATTGAAAAGTAGCATCATCAGCAATAAAGAAAAAAACTGAAACAGATGAGCTGGCTTAAGTTTAGCAGCTTCTCATTTTAATTAGCAGATATTTATTTATCTCAACTTTCCCCTTAACCTCGATTTGTTTGTAGTAAGAAAAGAAAAGTAATTCTGGTGAATAAACACTGATATTTAGTTACATAAAATATTCTGCAAGCATGCGCAATACAAATAAACTCAACCTTAAATCTGTGTCTTATGACTAATTTTAGGACTTGAGTTTTATCCAAAAAAAGAGCATGGAAAATCTTGACGCGCACACCTCTGTCTCCAAACAGACAAACTAGAAAGGAGAAAAGAAGCAAACCAGTAGCTTCTATAAGTTGGGAGCAGGAGACTGAAGGGAGGAGGGGATTTAAGTAAAATGACAAAAGGATTTGTTAAAAAAAAAAAAAAAATAATAATTTTAATGTACATTTTTAAAGGTGTGTTTTCCTTGAAAAATGCTCATTTGGTGTATATTCCATCTACATAAGTTTCTATTAAAAATATTCCCTATTAGGACAAAGAAATAAGAGGAATACATTAACTAGAGAAAGCTACAGTTAAAAGATTTAACTTTTGCTTTTTTAACAAAGAGAATGCTAACAGAGCGCTTAGAACATAAAGGAAAAAAAAAGTATTTTTAAGAAAGGCTGGATTATCTCTTTTTAAGATGGAAGGGAAAAAAAAACCCACAAAAAGAAACTTTTCATTTTATTTATAAGGAGTATTGCTGGAAAGCTAACCCCCCAACTCCAAACCAGCGCAGGCAAGGGCAGGGATGTCTTACTTCACGGAGCTGTGTTGCTGGGAGACTGGGTCAGGCAAACACAAAAGAAAGAAGCCAAAAGATGAAGCGTGATGACGACTATTACCATATTTCACAGTCAAATCAGATGACACTTCAGTCCAGAAGAACTATAAATCCAAATAATTTTTCAAAATGAATTTGAAGACTCCTTAGAGAAAACACTGTTTGCCCTAAATTACCCAGGACATGAAAATAAATAGTGTCTCCAAAGCCGTTAAAGCTGTAGCTCCTGAGATTTCTTTTTTCACTACCGTCTTCCCCAGAAGTCTTGATACTAGACACAAAACACATCTTCGGTGAAGTATGAGATACTGAGTGGGCCTAAAGGATTTTAAAGGATACCAAAAAACCAAACATTGTAAGGAAAAAAAAAAAAGGGGGGGAAAAAAAATCACTTTTCTTCCCCACACAAAATTACACCATCATAGAATCACAGAATATCTCTAGTTGGAAGGGACCCATAAGGATCATCGAGTCCAACTCCCTGCTCCTCGCAGGGCTACCTAAAACTGAATCATATGACTAAGACCATCACCCAGATGCTCCTTGAACTCTGACAGGCTTGGTGCTGTGACCACTGTTCCAGTGACTGACCACTCTCTCAGTGAAGAACATTTTCCTAAATTCCAACCTGAATTTCCCTGGCGCAGTTTCACTCCATTCCCTCGTCTCCTATCAGTGGTCACCAGAGAGAGGAGATGAGCACCTCCTCCCTCCACTGTCCCCACTGTACTAACACTGAATCTTGCTAAATTTGTGATGCCTTGTATCATCCTCTTTTGAAGCAAATGTTATCTATCATTCTTATTTCTGCTAAAAAAACCCCAACAAAACAGAAACAAAATTATCAATAGCTGATGCGACATTGTTCTGATATGTTATAGCATTTCCAAAAAAAAAGACATTTTATTTCCAAATAGAAGAAAGTAAGAAGCAATTCAGAGGATTCTTAGTAACAGTCTATCCACAGCTTTCAAGACCAGTATTATAGCGTTTCCATACCGTGAAGCTGTTGTTGACATTTTTTGTGCTCGATTCAGCTACACTGGCATCTGACAGATCAACTTCATCAAATATTAGAGACTGTGAATGGAAAAGAACATAAAAACATTAAATGTAGTCTGAGTCCACTGTCAGGTATGCTTACAGTCTGTGCTTTCATTTCCTTGTGTCCATTCCAACTGGAATACAAAAATAGAAAAAAAAGTGGTGAAAAAACAGAAAATACTGATGATGCGATAAAACTTCCTATTTGACACCTAAATACAGTCCTATTTGCTATCTAAGTGGTACATGAGAGCATAAAAAAGTGGATCCAAATATATATATTTATATTGCTTTAAAATCTCTTTTAAGGATTTTTTTTTTTTTTTTAATACATGCAGCTTCGGGGTGTCTACTGTGTAGCATAAATGTGGTGTCAGAGGAAGAGACTCATGCTCTTTCACAGTAAAATATAAATTAATTAATCAGTTTTATAATGGAACTCTAAATTCATGAAGGGGAATCTATGATACAATATCCATATGAGAAAATGGAGCTCAAGGGCCTGAAGAGATCCCTTCCACTCCTTTGTTTGACGTTCCAGCAAAAGAAATATACGTCTTCTTTAAACACCCCAGCCTCTGGCAAAGGATTAATTAGGTTCTGTTAAAGTCATGATGGGTTTTGTAGCGCAGAAGGGAAGACCAACAAAAATGCCTCCCCCTTTTTCTAGCCATACCATGTCCTTCTTTTGCGCCATGGGAAGGAGAATCGATGTTGGGGGAGTTTCAGCATGTCTGGATTCAATGTTATGGAGTATCTGTACAGTTGCTTACTCATTACACCTCCTTTACTCATTCTTACGGCACAATGATGTTGCCATTCTCAGAAATGTTATTAGCCGTGTTTATTAAGTCTTTACATAAACTGCTCGTGGTAGCACCGTGTGCAGAGAAGTGTGACAACAGAGGTACTTCGGTGCTGGACTCCCCGGTGAGACGATATTTTCCTTGATTCATCACAGCCACGCAACTGCGCATCATGCAATTATAGTCACGTAGTCCTACAGAGACAGGTCTCCACGCCTTAATAATAGTTTTATTAAGAGCAGGCTATAGAAAATGATGGAGACCTGAAACACCTCACCTACAGCTCCCATGAGTCACTGCAACCCCTCAGGGTAAAGAAAAGTAATGATGTCCATCGCTATGGAGCAGCACAATCTGAGCCAGTCCAATGAGCCAAAATGCTCTCAGCTCGGTCCCGGCCCTGAGGGGGAGGGAGGAAATGCTTTTCGGAAAGAAGACAAGTATTCCCCTCTGCCCACCCCCAATTTTCCCACCAAAAATTTCCACTGATGGGAAACAGCTTTTTCCCTTATGTATCAGTTTTGGCAGAAAATCTTCCTATCATGATTTCATGTAACCATTTCCACCTCTTGAATGGCAATATGGGCATCAGACTAAAAGAGTTTTAATGGATTCAGTCTGAGGGATAACTTCTGAGCATTATCCAATTTTTAATTATTTTTTTTTTTTTGAAATGTTAGATTTGACTGACTGAGAGCCACTCCCCCCAAAAAAACCACAACTCCTTAAGATGAATTTATTGTCTGAATAGTCAAAAAGGTTAAAATAATGGTGACAAACATTAAAAAAAAATCAAGAGAAATCACCAGTCTTCCTTAAAGTTAACACACTACATCTTATATACAGCAGCTTTTAATAAAACAATCATTAACAAATCATTAAATTATTGTTATTATTGCACTTCTAAATCTAAACAAAATTGAAGTTACAAGTATATGATATTAGACACTAATAGTATAGAATTACCTTTGAATCTTTAGCATAATAAAGGGTACGACCTCGAAGTTTGAAATAACGCTTTTTCCACCTCTGAAAAGAACTGGTTTGCTTCAGTAGTAATCCTTCTTTTATACTTGTCTGAAAAATATTAAAATATAGAAGACAAGGTAAATAAATATCTAAATAGCTACACATATAGATGAAAGTTATGCTTTTAAAAATTTATGTTACACTCCTATAACTGTGAATTTAAATTTGTATCTATCCACATTAAATTGAGACTAATTCTCTGGACAACCAGACTTCACATTGCTATTTTTTAAACAATGGCAATGTTGGTAAAATGCTAATTTTACATGTAAACTGAAAAGGCAGTTGGAAGGCATATAATTATTGTGAAGATGAACACGAAATAATTCAGCTGTCTGGATAGCTGCAAAGCCACAAATATTAAAGTGAGCAACAATTGATGGCGGCACAATTCAGAAAAAAAATGCTAAAAACCATCTACGCAAGGTCATTTCCAGTTCCAAATCTGATTATGTTGAGGAGAAAAACAATTTTCACATAGGCACTAATTCAATAAGGTACTTAAATGTGTGTCTGATTCAAGCACATGAATTATGCCTTTAAAATAGTCAGAATGATCCAGTACGATGCAAGTCATGCGTGACTTCAAGTGTGTTGCTGAACTGAAGCCTTCAGCATGAAATAAGCTTACCATTAGGAATAATTATTATATGAAAAGTGTGAGAACAGTAACAACTAGGGATATTTTTACCAAGCAAATATTTTTAGTCAAAAAACGATCAACCAATCCAAACCTTTCCCCTGCAGACTGAACTCTGCCTACATAAAGCCCCTTTTTTGATATGAGTAAGACACAAATTAGCATATTTTAAACGTGTATACTGCTTTCACCAGCGTGTGTGGGATTCATCCAACTGATTACAGAAGTTCTCCACTTGATCAGATGAAATGACATGACACAGCATGCTAATTGAGTCTCAAAATTCATTTTCTTCAGCTTTGAAGCACACAAAGGGTATGAGAAAAAGCAAGTACATTTGGATATTATATTCCAAAATGGTGTCTAATATTTCCAGAATATTTCCAATTTGTAGTGTAATAATATGATGTGAAACTTATAATACAATTTCTAGAAAATGTGATATAAACATCATTTGAAGTTACTATAGATTTTTTAGACTTAACCAAGAACTGACCTAAAGTTCATAAACATCTTCCTCTGTTATCAGATGTCAAATTCCCCTTAACGTTATTGCAAGTAATGAAAATACAGAAAAAGCAGAAAGCACTTTAACATTCTGTCATTTCCTTGAAATGAGAAACATCGCTGTTGCATACATACATCCATCACACCCTTCATTTAGATACTCCAAACGTCACAAACTAAGAATATGGTCCAACAATCACAAAGCAATTGAATTAATGCTCTCAAAAAAGCAACCCTCAGATGAAACATCACAGCTGAATGTTTGGATTTATCTCGCTTTACTTCACATGCCAACAGCCCCGACCAACGCATTTGGTCACCCCTGCTGCTCTAGCTAAGGGGTAGCAATTCCCACCTGAAAGGATGGAATTGCAAGATTATTTGCAATTTTCTGACCAGACCCAAAGATAAGCTATTTTTACACGATATAAATAGATTTAATCAGTTAGTGAATACTTATTCAAAGCTGTGTGCTGTAGCTTTGCGGGATTTCTGTTCCATATTGCTCTCTGAGATTTCGGAAGCTTATCACAGGGGATGGGAGTAGATGACTTGTGTGTTTATCAAGGGTCAGAAGATATAAGATCAGATAAATTCAGTTCCAAGGAAATAGTACCTCACATACACGGCAGACAACGACTTACTGGAAAAATTTCCAAAATGGAAGGAAATCCATGTTCCCTAAACACATTCTAGGAGACACAGAACATACATTATACCGAGTATTTTCAAATCTGTTCAAAGAATATAAACCTCCCTAAACCTTGAGCTATTGCTCATAAAAGAATTAACTAACTTTTTCACATCATTTTTATACCTACATAAGCCATTTCCCCCTATTTCTACTCACCCTTAAAACACCAGTATCCCTAAAATCAAACCAATAACTTCAAAATTAAATCTATTTTGCAAATCAGCCATTTAAAATTAACTCCCTAAAGTTGACAGTAAATAACCACGTAGGCTCTACAGAACGTATTTTTCTATCAAAATGTTAAAATACTAGACTGGTAAACATTTACCCAAGAAATGTAAGCACTTCATAAAGTATACATCTGAAGTTTACATTTACCACCAATAGATATACTGGGCTAAGGTTTGAGCACCTTAAATAGACAATTCCATGGCTGCAGACATCAAAACTGAGCACAAAGCTTTGGCCCGATATCCTTAATTAACTTCATTTAGCCTTTAAAATGTGCAAAAAACTTCCAGCTGCCAACTGAGTCATTAGGTAATCTGCTAATAATGCTTTCCTGAATCTACACACAAGTCATAGCACTTACAGTAATTTGAGATTGGAAGGAACTTCTCAGGTCATTGAATCTGGGTAGACACTATTGCCAACAACCAGGTCATGTAAAGTTTTTGAAAAGCATTCATCAGGCTACGGCTACCCCTTAAGAAAGCAAAAGGTACCTTTTCCTCTCCTAACAGTAATTAAGAGAGTGTTCCAAGATCTCGCTGTTGTGAGAAATCTTCTAATTAATCTCAGCTAAACATTAAATCTGAAGCATAAGCGATAATCACTGCCAGTTATATTAACTACTTTCTTACTGTAATTTAGGAGAAACCAGAAGTGCACATCCCACAATCCCATGCTACTTCTCCCTTTTACGGCATCAACTCTCATCTGCTTGCCAATAACTCTCACTTCCCCATATAGCATCTTGTGTCATCTAGTAAAACAACATCCCTCCAGAAGTATGGGACTATAATAAGAATAGAATAGAGTAGAATAGAGTAGAATAGAATAGAATAGAATAGAATAGAATAGAATAGAATAGAATAGAATAGAATAGAACAGAACAGAACAGAACAGAATCACTATTGTAGAATCACTAACAATCTTTACTACTGTAGCCATTAACAATCAGGAAAATTATTCACAATATTACAATCACACCACCACAGTGCTCCAAAGTGGTGTACTTTCCTGAAGAAATCTAATTATAAAAATCATAGCCACATTTCATAAAATTCAGGTGTACATGTATGTTCAGTTATCCAAGAATGTTGAATGCAACTCTATATCACCATAATCTAAATGACAAAAATAAATGGGATTTCTGGGTATTTTGATCACTAAAAAAATGAGAGGCATCTTCTTTTATATCAGCAGATTTTTAAATATTCAATATACAACACCTGAAAATTAAAAACTATCAGTTCTAATTTCAAAGACAATCAACCCCACTGCCCTACTTCTAATTCAGTTAGTTTGTAAAGCCACATTTGTGCAAAAGTCTCCTTTTTTATTTCTGCTGCTGCTAGAAAGACCCAAAGAAAGGAGAAAATATTCTGAATTTAGAAAAGAAAACAGTAAACTGACTATGGATGCATTATTGGCAACTTCAAACTAAAACACTGAATGATTAAAGATAAAAGTCTCCCCTCTACTTCTTTTCAGATATGTAAGTGGATGTACTGCTCAAAATGTGTCAGGAAAGTCAAGAAAAGAACATCAGGAAATTTCTGAAAGTGAGGAGAATGAAAATGAGAACAGGAAAACCCATAAAACAGGGCAGGTCAAATGTAAACAGGAAATTAAGATGGTGAAGAAGAATTTTAAGATACCTTGCAATGGATGCTCACGCTGAGACCAAAATGTTCTTTAAATACTTTGAAAGATGAAAGACAGCTAAGGGGTTGGCAAGATCATTTTTCAACAGAGGTATGAAAAGAGGATGAGAAGATCACAGCAAAGCAGCTCATCGAATTCTTGGCATTTGTCTTTACCAATGAAGATGACGAGATGGTGTCTCACGCAACATGTTCTTCATAACATCCGAACAGTTACACTGACATGAAGCACATACACAGGAAGTACTAGACCAGTCAAATCACTCAGTCATGTGGACCAGATGGCATTGACCTCAGAGCCCTGAAGATCCTGAAAGGACCACTGACACTAACTTCCAATCCTGGTAAGACAGTAGAGTCCATACAAAAAATAACATTGCTGAGCCCATATACATCCAACGGGAAAAAGTCAACAGAGCTTTTGTAAAGGAAAACTCCCTTGCTACCTGCAGGGAGTTCAAGGGGTAGAGAGAAAGCATGTGGATAAATGCAGATCCAGTAGATTCGGAATTTCAAAAAGCCTTTGACAAGATTATTGGAGAAATTAAGTTAGAATGGAATTGGAAAAAGGGGCTTTTGTGGACTGAAAGTTGCTCAAGGGAGTAGAAGCAGAAGTAAGGCTTAACAGTCACTCTCTCTCCTGGATGAAAACATGATAGCAGCAAGGTTCCTAAGGAATCAGGTTTATTCAAATTCAGTGACCCAAAGAAGGATCACACAATGAAATCTTCAAAGAAAATACTAAGTTCTTTTGAGTAGACAAATGCCAATGGTGAGGAACTCAAAGGATGTCATAGAACTGAGCAAGAGGGCAAAGACGAGCCTCAGGTCAGTGTAAGATGTTCTGCTTTGGGGAAAAAAAATCTAAACCTAATATTCTCACATCAACTTTGAGTTGAGAAGAGACCTGGGAGTCACAGTTCACAGCTCTCTGTGCTCAACCACAGCCAGAAAAGCCAAAAAACTTTGGCTGTCACCATGAAAAGTAGCAAAACCAAGACAGTTCTGGTCTCTCCAACTCAAGAAACAGGGTTAAGAGAAGGTACAGAAAAGAGCCACTCAAATGATTTGAGCACAAAGCAGCTGCCTTACAAAGAGAGACTAAAACACTAAAAAAACTGGAACTTTTCAGTTTGAAGAGCAGAAGACCAGCGGGGGCGGGGGGCCATCGATCAAAGTTTATAAAAGCATTAAAGCAGAGTATGGTGAATGCAAAACTATTGCTCACTAAATCCCACAATATTAGAACTAGGAGGAATGTGATGAAACTATATTGAGACCAGCTTAACAAAGATAAGAAGCAGCACATCTTTACATA